GTATTGATCTATATGTAAGTTTGACTGTTGTTAAGTATATTTATATTTTTTGAAATAAGCTTGAATATTGTATATTATATGTTATATATATATATATATATTACTAAAAAATTATCAAGCTATCAATATTATTATAAATATATTTCAAACAACAGGCATATACAAATCAAGTGCCAGGTCTGTAGTTTTTACAAGAAAAGTATTATTTTAAAAATATAGTAAAGTGAATGCATTCATGTGAATGTCTGTAAATTGAGCTAATTGTATAAAAAGATGGTAATCTGTGCTCTAAAAGCATGAGAGATATACTATCATACTTGTTGTAACTAAAAAACATTTTAGCACATTTGTTGTTGCTATACTGAAAGTGTGCCATTGTTTTATCATTATAATTTTGCCACAGAGGGGAGCACCATATAATAAAATGCAATAGGAACTAAACAATTTAACCTTTACTCTGCTAGAGCATAAATCAAAGCGTCTAATTAGAATATTCAAGATCATCGTTTAGGTCATTTTTAATTATATAACCAAGGTGTTTGAAAGATTTAACAAAAGTAATTTTACAGGCTGTTATGCATAATTCTGGGAAGGAGTTTGATATATTTTTTGATTTTTAAGTTTGGTTAAACACCATGCATACAGTTTTCTTGGTATTAAAGGACATGTTAATTAAAGAAGATATCTTATTTGTAATGCCAATTAGTTTTTGAAGAGAAAACCAAGAAGATGCAATTAGAACCATATCAACAGCTTAAGCAAACACATTCATAAAGATGCCACCTATATTACATCCAATATGTAGGTTTGAAATTGGTAAAATCAAACTGTGTATGTAAAAGTTAAATAGAAGTGGCGACAATATACTAAGTATTATATATATATAATATAATAAATGTTTATTATATTATTTTCTTTACAAAAACAATACTCACCATTAATTAATTAAAAAAAAAATTATAAGTAATTTTAAAATGAAAATCACATTAAACTTGTGTATGATAGTTTATGGTAAGGCAAAAAAAATATTCTTGAATTAATAAACATCCAACAAACACTCTAAAATGAAACTATAATTCATTAGTTTGTTCACATATAAAATATTGCACATCTGCAATATTTGGAAAAACACAACAGACCTGATTTAATAGAATTTTACTTGATGTTTCAAAGATTTTTTTACAGTATCGTATAAAATATTCTTCGAATTAGCCACAAACAAGCAAATTAGAGGTCACTCACACTACTAAAGCATAAGTTTGCAATTGTATTCAAGCAACGTTTCTACTTAGAACTGACTTGATAAAGATATTATTTCAGGTTCTTTCCTAAATTGTTTTAAAACAGGCTACTTTATGAATTAATATCAATACAGCCTGCTTTTGTCATAAGTGGAATTTTTTAAGCAATTCTGGTAAAGGCTCACTAGTTAAATAACTTTAATTACATGATGTACATGTTTGCAATCAGGATAAGAGAGTTTGCATTGTGTAACACAAGTGCACAATGTTTTTGAAACATTGTAGTGATTAAATGTAGTATACATCATTTTACAAAAAGTATTGTTTTAAATTCATGTTACTTCTCATTTGTTTATAATATAATTCTATTATCAGAATTTTTAAATACTACTTTCTTCCAAAGAAATAAAAAAGTCAAAGTTATATAATTATCATTTTTTGTAATAAATTTATAAGTATGGTAAATTAAATTAAACTTTATTGACTTTTTTAATGCAACTATTGAACATTTTTTTATAGTTGCATTAAAAAAGGAAAAAAAATTGCATTAGAGCTGTGGTATTTCTAAGTCAATATTGATTCTGGTCTGCTGGTTTGTATAAGTTTAAAAAAAAAAGATATTTGTAACTTTGAACAAAAGAGTTTGGTGCATTGAACTTTTTTTTTTTTTTATATATAATTTTGTTAATTGTGTTAATAAAATATAATTTTTATAATTTTGAATGTTTTTATATACTTTTTTAAATTAAAGAAAGAGTTGCTTAAACTTATTTTTTTTCCTGTTGATATTTTATTTTAATAAATAATAATTTTAACCAAATAAAATATTTTTATTCAGATAAATACAATTTTTTTTTCTCACTTTTTTTATAATTGTTAAATTTATATAAAATGTTTAATAAAGTTGTTACTTAAAACATATATTTTTTTTAATAATAATATTAATTCATATTTTTTGAAAAAATCATTTATTTTTTTATAACTATTTTTTTTTTTTAATATAAATAAAATTGTCAGTTTTTAAGAAAATGTTTCAAAATGTTTATGATAAAAAATTAAAAAGGAAAAATTTTGAAAGAAAAGTTAGGAAGAGTCAAAAGTGGACAATATTTATTGAGAGAAAATAGAGTTGCAAAAAAACGCGTTTTTTTCTTTTGGTGTTTTTTTGGGTCAAAAAAACGTGTTTTTTTGGATTTTTTATGGTTTTTTTTTGGTGTTGCTTTTTTTTTTGGTTTGTATTGCTTTTTTAAACAATTTTTCAGTTTTTTTTGACATAAATTTTGGAATAGTTTTCCTTTACTCTAGTATAAGTTTAGTATTTGGCCATTAAAAGCACAATTAGATATTAACACCAATTTAACAAATTTTTTATAAAAAAATTTAAATTAACTTTAAGTTAGTTATATATCATACAGTATGAAAATATTTATTTTTTGTTTTGTTGTACTAACAACTGTGATACTCTCATTATATATAAAAACTGTTCTTATTCTATAAAAAAAGTTACCATTTTAATTTTGGTAATGTAAATATATTAATGTATAATACCATGCAAATTTAATATCTTTGAATGCTCAAAAAAATAAGCAATCTATCAAGATTATTTACTTAATTAAGCATTTGTATATTATGTAGTAATTAAGTCTTACATTGTTTGTTATATCAAAAAAATAAATATTGGTAGTATGCCCATATTTAAAAAAAGCCTTATACTGAACTTAATTTCAAGGAAAATTTAAAAATTTTCAAATTATTATTATTTATGGAGTTTCCCAGACCCCATTCACCTGATGATTCGTAATTTATTTATTTGTAATTAATTTTTTAACAGCATTTTTTTCCTCTAATTACATTATTTATTCATCTAGATATTTTCATATAGCACTACATCAGAACACTTGCAAAATTCTTTAATATGCTCTATTTTTTAAGTTCACTTTTTAGACATAATCTTATGGCAAAAGAATTGTTTATCTTTTTCCATTTTACTAATTTAGTTCAGAGGTTTAAATAAATGGGTGACTAAGGCTTTATTTCTGCCCCCTGTATGGAAAGCCTAATCATAATTCTTTTTGTTCTTCCTGTTGATTACCAACAAGAAAAAAAAATTCACTTAATAATTTAAAGATATCCTTTTTCTTTATATTATATATATATATATATATATATATATATATATATATATATATATATATATATATATATATATATATATATATATATATATATGTATATATTATATATATATATATATATATATATATATATTTATATATATATATATATATATATTTATATATATATATATATATATATATATATATATATATATATATATATATATATATATATTTATATATATATATATGATGGCCCTTGGATAGAAATCTTTCGTCTTCCTGCTGACAAATGTGCTTCTTACATAACTTCGTGGATTCAGGCTGGCATGGAATCTTTTATTCCCTCTCGACGATTCCAGGTCAAGCCTCACTCTTCTCCTTGGTTTTCCTCACATTGCGCTGCAGCAATTTCTAATCGAAACCATTACTTCAATATCTATCAGCAAAACAATTCTCCAGAAAACAGACATCTGTTCACTATCGCCAGAAACCATTGTAAAAAGGTTTTGTCTGACGCCAAAGCTCGCTATTCCCAGGTCATTAAATCTCGTATCTCATCACAAAAATTAGGCTCTCGAGACTTCTGGAGAATCTTTAACAGTATCAATAATAAGGGCAAATCTGCTATTCCTTCTCTCTTGTATGGTTCAGACTTTGTCACCTCACCTAAAGACAAAGCTGAATTGTTTGCTAAGAACTTTTCATCAATATCATCTCTTGATTCCACTAGTTGCGTTTTACCTGACATAGCCGTTAAACAGGTTGATCCCTTGCTTGACATTCGCATCACTTCAGCTTCTGTATCTAAAGTAATTTCCTGCTTAGACTCTTCAACAGCTTGTGGTCCTGACAACATTCCTGTTATAGTCTTGAAGAGGTGTTCTCCGGAGCTTTCATCCATACTTTCTAAACTATTTAACAAGTGCTTATCAGAGTCTTGTTTTCCATCATGCTGGAAAGCAGCATCTGTTATCCCTATTTTCAAAAATTCTGGAGAGCGATCTGATTCATCTAACTACCGTCCCATTAGTCTTCTTCCTGTCATAAGCAAGGTTTTTGAATCTTTAATCAACAAACACTTAATCTCTCATCTTGAATCAAATAACTTACTTTCTGATCATCAATATGGATTTCAGTCTTCTCGTTCTACAGCTGATATGCTAACAGTAATAACCGATAGGTTTTACCGTGCATTAGATAGAGGTGGAGAGGTTAAGGCTATTGCACTTGACATTTCTAAAGCTTTTGATAAAGTTTGGCATGCTGGTCTTCTCCATAAGCTTTCTTCTTATGGTGTAGCTGGTAACGTCTTTAAGATTATTGAGTCCTTTCTTTCCAATCGTAGTATAAAAGTTGTCCTCGATGGACAACACTCTTCTTCACATCCTGTAACTTCAGGGGTTCCTCAAGGTTCAATCCTTGGCCCTATACTCTTTTTAATTTACATTAACGATCTTCCAGATATTCTCACATCTAAGGTGGCATTATTCGCTGACGACACTACCATTTACTCTTGTCATGATAAGAAGCCTACACTCTCTGATTGCTTGGAGGGGGTATCTGAGCTTGAAAAGGATCTCACTTCTGCTACAGCTTGGGGCTCACAGTGGCTGGTGAACTTTAATTCAGATAAGACTCA